TTTATTGGTTATGTTTGAACAGACTGACGACTCCTTGGTGGTGAATAGTGAAATTACCATAAATATGAATGGTAACTGGGAGATGATCAGAGATAATTTTGTGAAATATTGCAATGCCATTATCATGAGGATTATAGACAATCAAAAAAAAAAGACATGCCATGAATGAGGGTCATGAAAAAAGTGTATGAATGGCAATTAAAGATCCTCATTTTGTGAGCCTCTGTCATATGGAAACCCATCCTTTATATAGGTTTGCAGCTCATAGGCATGCTGATTTAAAGGATTGTCTTTTGTGAGGAGAAGCAAATAGCTTGGGATTGTAAACTTTTGAACTTGAATAGAATATGGTTGAATCCAATTTCAGACAGAAACATGAAATCAGGTTTAAACTCTTGAAGATTTAGTTCAACTTGTGGATAGTTGGAATGTAAACCCATTTTATGGGGTCTGTTTTGTATAGATTGTCTGGGTTTGACTCTACAGTGAGTGTTATCTTTTTAAAAAATATTCTTTTCAAATTTTCGTGTGAGGATCTGTGGTAGTGAGACAGCAACACCACACAAGTGGCATGTGTGAAAAAAATTCACCGATAAGCCCAACTAGAAACTACTACATATATAGATCCCATTCACAAAGTGGCAATACAGTAGTATGCACCTACAGAATAGCCTTCTTAGGAGTTACTCAAATGTTCAAATCCTTAACAGATGGATAATGATTAACTGAGAGAAGCGTTTACTTCCAGTATCCTTGATAAAGACACAATAATCCAGGATTAGGAAGAAATTACAAGCCTATGACTCGAAGTGGAACCATAATCTTTACTGAGAAATCAAGGCAGCAGAACTTCTCCTATGGTCAGAAACATCATGACTAAGGACCAGGCTCCAAGAGAAACTTATTCAGTTGTGGGGACAAAACCCTACTAGAAGTGAGACTTACAAAAGCTACTCAGAGATGAACTAACATTCTATAACCCCCACTTTCATATAGAGTTACTGAAGAACTATAGCACTAAGATATACCAATAGGAAGAATAAGGACAACAGTCTATGGAACACATTTCGAAGTAAATGGGTATTTTTGTAAAGTATTAACTTAAACTTTAACTTAATTATGGATGTGTGGGTGGTGTAATGGATAAAAGGCTCAAATTTTTGAGAATCAAAGAGCTGAGTTCAAATTCAAGTCAAGTTTGTTACATTCACTTACACACAAATAACCTTGGGAAAAGTATGACTCTCTCTTTCTCTCTCTCTCTCTCTGCTGTGGGTTAAATAGTAAAGCAGAGTGAGCTCATCAGCATTGGTTGGCAACCAGTCTAAGGGAAAAACAACACTGAATTCAAAAACTGTATGTAGCCATGGTGAAGCACATACTATGTAGCTAAGGAAAGGATCATCATGGAGTTCAGAATGACTAGGATCTTAACTGCAGTTGGCCTACTTTAACTTAGTCACAATGTTAAAGTCACACTGTCTTATACCAAAAGGGAAAGGGGGTGGAATTCTAAACATATCAAAGTTGAATTAAGTTATTTATACAATGGCATATATATATATATATATATATATATATATATATATAAAATAAAAGAGCAAATAGAAAACGTATATAAATCTAACATGTTTTATTTTTATAAAAGCTTCATCAGAGATTGAGAGAAAATGGACAAAAAGACAGAAAACACTGGTATTATTTTCTGTATGTTTTCTCTCTTTTTGTCTATTTTCTCTCAATCTCTGATGAAGCTTTAATAAAAATAAAACATGTTAGATTTATATACGTTTTCTATTTGCTCTTTTATTTTATCATCCTGTCAGATTCTGATCCATATTTGATCTACAATTTTAATCTTTAACTTATATATATATATATATATATATATATATATATATATATATATGATACCTCACCTCCAGAGTTTTGTAGCAAAACCTTTTTGCAAACATTTGGTCCACTTATAAAAAGGTATTAGCAATTGTCTGCCAATTTTATGATTTTCATTATATCAAGTTAAAAAAAAAATAATTTATGCAGTATTTTTGGTGTTAGGTTGATTTTTTTTCTTCTTGTGCATGTATGGTGGTTTTCTAAGCATAGCTTATATGTGGAACAAGGCCGAGAGAATGGGACACTCAGTGAGGAACGAACTCACTATTCAGTCATAATTGTTCTATCAAGACAAGCTTGCTAACCATTACACCACATCGAAGTGCCCCTTCTTGTATGTGTATGGGTGTGTACACATATCTCTGTGTGTATGTGCACATATGTAGAATATCATCATTATCTTTCCTTTTCATAATTTTCTTGTCTCCTTCTACTCTCTCACTATCCCTTTGCCTTCTTTTTTCTATCTTTTGGCTCTGGCTGTCAATGATAATCAAACATATATATAAAAAGTAGGTGTTTATTTCTATAAGGTTCATATCTAAAACCTACAAGACGAGCAAAAAAATTTCACCCCATTCATTACTCTCCATCCAGTTAGACTTTGCTCCCTCCTACATGATCCATATGACCTTCAAGCAGATGGATAATTTTCAAAATTATGTCATTTGAACATTTCTTGATTTGAATACCCTGGATTAAGATATCTGGGGCATCATTGAAAAGGAGACCAACCAGCAGCCTCACAGTACCAAGGATTTACTGAAGGCTGGCATTGACATGATGACAAACATGAGAGACAAACCTGTAATCCATGAATGTAAACAATTCTGAAACAGTATCAAGTTCATTCTCAACACTGACACTAATTTTATTGAATAACTTTTTTTTATATATTTTTCAGTTAAAATATGCATAAAATGTTTTGAAAAATAATTTTTACTTTCCTTCCACTCTCTAATTAGTATGTTCTATAATGGGCTGGTCTTGTGACCCTTAACAGCAAATCAGCAGAGTTTTACCTGTTCAAATAGGATAGTCATGTAAATACCACTTGTGAGTAAAAACTGCTTTTGTAACATCCACTAACTTTCCTTTTCAGGGTTGGAGGGAATGCTTGTAACGTATTTTTTCATATACTGTTGTTCATCAAATGCAAAATCCAAGAGCTACTCAAGGTAGAGGGTTACTGAATGAAGTTGTTGAAATTAGATAACAGTTGACCAGAGATTTGAAGAGATTAAAATTAAAGTGATCAGGGAAGAATCCTCTCTAGACTTTGTTAGTATGTTCTCTTTCTAAAAAATAAAAACTTCATTTATGTTCTACCTGTCTCTATTTTTTTTATTATAAATGTTTAGATAATTAATCTGCTTTCAATGGCCAGATACTACCAGAACCATCACACATATATCTAGTAACCAAAGAATATAATTTTTCTTTAAACTTACTTTATATCCCAGTATAAAATTATATTTCAGAGAAATTGTATTCCTAATTCATGAGTAGACACAGTAAAATGACATTCCAAACTTTTGAGTAAATATAGACTTTTGTAACACCCACTCACTTTCCTTTTCAGAGTCATAGAGAAGGTTTTTAATGCCTTTCTGCACTTTGATAGCATATTCTCTTTCTAAAAAAGAAAATTTTTGCTTACATTCTTCCACATTCTCTCTAACCATCTTTTTAATCTAGCACCCTTGGGACCATATTATTCATGGACCACAGAAAATGCCAATTAACAAAAACCACCACAAAACCCCATGTAAACAAAGTTTTTCTAGTTCATTCTATATATAAACTGTTGTATTATCAAAAGTAGAGCAAAGCTTAAAACAGGAAATAAGACAATTAGTAATTCTTTCAAACAAGGTTTTTTAGTGTTTCATGCAATGTAAAGCCTAAAAAAGGTTTAAATCCTAAATTTAATATCTACTTACTATACTGTATTCAGCAATATAACGGATGCGATGGATAAATTGTCGTCTAAATTATACAAAACATGAAAATAATACCGACATCTCATTTTAACAGATATATTTACCAAAATTGCACAAAAATATCTTGAAATACTAAAGAGTAAATTTATTCAATAAAATTGCCATTGGCCACATCCTCCAGACAACTATGAAACCTCCTGCATCTCTTATGGACAGTCAGTCTCCTTGCCTTTTCATCTTTGGTGTTACAAGGAGATTTGAAAATGTATCTTTTGATTTTGTCAAGAACCTCAAGATGAACAGCAGAGGGTCCAGGCCATATATGGCAACAGTATTTCATGCATGAATAAATGGTAGACTTGTAAATGTGAAGGTTGGACTCAGATAAGAAAAACATTCTGGTGCGACACAGGGAAGCAATTTTCCTTGCAGTAGATGCAGCTATTGATTCAATGTAGTCGTTCCACCTCAGGTCAGTAGAAAATGTGAGACCAAGAAGGCAAAGTGAGGTGATCTCATGCAGTTGAGTATCAGCCATGCTTATAGGAGGACAGGAAGTTTCTATATGGTGAGTAAATGACAGCAGTTTTGTCTTTTTTTGTGATGTACAGTGACTGTTAATAATTAAGTATAACTCAAGACTTCAATATTAAAATAAAACAATATTTAATTACAACTGCAGATAAATACTTAACAAGAACAAAGGATTAAAAGCCAATTATTTCAATTTCATTTCGCAACTAACAAGGTATTCACTGAATTTCAGTGAATACCTTGTTAGTTGTGTGTCTCAGCTTAATGTAAAGTAAATTCTAAATCAAAACCCAAATCATTAATGCACAATAATTCACACTAATACAACTGGATAGTTCCATTCAATAGTCACTCAATCACTGCAGTCAGTAACTTGACATATCAAATGGGTTATTTAATGACAAAATCTAAATATCTTTTATGCAATTTTCTTTTTGAGATAATAATGGTTTTTAGTGATACAAGTCTTACTAATAACCTATAGCTGGGTTTAGGAGAGGTGGCTCCATACCTTTCCACAGGGTATTTGCAAGTAAGTGAATATAACGAAGCCAGCTGGAATTGGAATTCATCTCTCCAATTAACAATTCCAAGCTATTATCCATGACATCACCCACATAACCAATATTACAGCACCTGGTATTCCCAAGCAGTCACCTATCTAAGTACTGACCAGACTCGATATTGCTTAGCTTCAGTGATTATATGGGAACCAGTGATTCAAAATGGCCGTGAGCCTAGCCATGTATATTAGGACATGTGGAAGTAAGGAATGTAGTTTGTCTGAGTACTTTCCATCTATCAAGGCTGAAAAGTGAAGATTGTACAACTCTTTCCTGCAGTAATATATTTCCAGTCTGATCTGGCTCTTGTAATGCTGGAGGATATCAAGAGGAGTTAGATACTTACTGGAATGTTACAGGGAATTTTTGTATTTTTTCATGATGGATCATATGTACAAGTTCTACTTGAAGTCTGGGTTGAGTTTAAGTCCCAGTAGGTGTTCAGGGCATGGGGTCTTCCTGAGAGAACACCCATTGATCATGACAAGTAAAATTTAATAGTGACATGAAATTTACAGTTACATGAAAAGTGTTAAACCATGACTTGTAGCAGGTTTTTTATTTATCTAAAATGTTTAACACTGAGGACATGGAAATCCTTTATGTAATTCTTGGGAAATTGAGTTGTCTGCATTATTTTGCATCATTTATTACATCCTTTCATCAAGACTTGGAACATGAGATGAATATTGGTGGAAAGTTGAGAACGGTAGAGTATTAAACGTGGGATCAACTTGAACCTACATTGTTTTGAATCTATATCTCAGTCGTGATGATTGATGCTTTGCATACAGCTGGCACAAAAATTTGGTATCACCCCACAAATAAGCTTTTTAACCATAGCTGTCTTCAATCAATGACAAAATCATTCCATATATTAATTGAAATTCTCCTATATGTTGATGACCAGGCTTCCTGTAGCTTATAAACAGATTGTTGAAAATTTTCCAATATTTTGAGCCACCTTTAGATTAATCTAATAATCTCTGTCTGTAAAAAAAATACTTGTTGTGTGTCTTTGGTTTTGGTGAAATATTACATTTAGGACTAAGCAAGCAATCTGCAATGAATGTGTTAGTCCAGTCTTCCGATATTCATAGTGAGAAAATGTCAGTATTATCTCAGAAAAAGTTCAAATATCTATTGATCTTGCCACATTTCAAACTTTCAACTCACAATATATAGAAATGATTGTCCCAAAACATTAACTGTGATGGGCAGGGCAACTGGTAAAACATAGGGATGATCAGATTTTCAACTCTGAGTATATTGAGACAATTGTCCAGAAACATCGGAAGGGCACTTGGTAAAATATAGTGATGATCATTTGCCTACGAAAACATTGGATGCAGAACATAAAAGTGAAAAACAATTGCAACAGAAGCCCAGAAAATGTTTTAGAGATTCTTTATCTAATTTTCTGTTTGGCCTATGTAGGGAATCCTGCAAGATAAATGCACAATAATAGAGACAGGCTCTATTTGGTGCTTTTCTACATATTGATGAAGGCATCAAAGTTAAATTTTCTGCTAGAGAGATTGTATAGATTCAACAAGACTTGTTTGTGAAAAGTGTGACAGTGTCTGCTTATCACAGACTGGGCTGAAATGTGCCATTAGGAATCAGGTGCATTAGCATCATTTGTTCATTCATTTATTCAGTTAGTGCATTTTGTACTGCTGTAGTCACCACTTCCTCTATTTCCACTACAACTGTGGTTCATGGTAACATTCAAGGCAAAATAGTGAAATGGCTTATGGGTTGCTTTTGCACTGAGGATGTTGAGGTTATCCTGTCTCTCCTCCCAGAAGTTCCTCCACCCACTGGTGAAGCTGTTGACTTCTGTGGTGCACCTCTTATGCTAAGGTTTGTGACTGGCTGATGGTTTGGCAAGTGGTGTTACCTTTCACTGATCGGGTCAGAAAATCCTTCCGACTACCCTCACAATTTAGCCGACACATTTATGCCATTGACCGGAATGTGGCTGTCACAGTGCCCTTGTGACTTTATGGAGCCATGTGTGAGTGTTGGACATAAGCCATGGACCAGTACAATACTGCATCCCAATTCACTTGAATAAAGCAGGGTTGACCGCTTTGCTACAAAGGTACTACCATTGATGATATGACCCAGATTTATATTCAGTCTGATGCAGGGGCATCAGATTGAATACAAATGTTACTGTCAACAGGAAGATTTAATTTTTATCTTGTATTATAAGCATTTTAAGAATTAATCTGGTCTCATAAGCATGGGAAGGTTTATTAATATCAATCCTGAAACCATGGGATAAAATTAATTTGTTTGCAGTTCAAAAGATCTTTTTAAAGCCTTATATATAAATACTGTTGCCACATCTGGTCTGGTACTCCTGCTATATATTTAGAGATTCTTGATAAAATCTAAAAAAGAATCTGCAATGTTATTGGTTTGGGCCTGACATCTCAGCTTCAATTCCTTTCCCACCTCTGTAATGTAGCTTTACTCTGACTTTTCTAAAAATATTTTCATGGTAATCATTCTGATGAACATCTATGGCACCTAGACTTTATGAATTTAAGTGCAGTACTAGATAAGTGGCAAGGTCACATTATTTTAAAGTTGAAATGATGTAACCGTAAGTTCTATGCTAACAGTTTCTTCTGTTGCAGTTTTCACTTGTAGAACTTTCTTTCGACTTCTTGCTTTCCAGTCAACTTTGCATTTAAATTTTTGAAGATCAATGTCACTTGTTATCTACTTTCTTAATTCTTGTTGTTTTATTTTCCTCTCTCATCAATAGTAGATATTTCTTATATTCTCTAACACTCAATAGCCTCCTTGTGTTTTAGTGGCTTCATTGCCTTGCTTGGAAATTAAATGGTTAAAGAAAATATATATATATATATATATATATATATATATATATATATATATATATATATGGAAAAGGTTATAATTGTTCCAATGAGAGAAAAATGCATATTTTAAAAAAAGAAAGAAACTGCAAACATTTTTTGTTATAATGTGTGGGGTTCAGCATACCCGGATTAAAGGAGAATTTAATACGGGATACCCTGCCCTCAAAATACCATGCAAATTTCAAGAAGAAACAACACGATAAGGAACGTTTGTAGAAAATAGTACATTGTATATTTATTATCTTGTGAATAGGGTAAAAAAGATTAATGTTTTAGTTCATTTAAGCAAAAATGTGATTTTGACAGAAAATGTCTGTGTTCGCTGTCTTTTAACAGAGTAGCAGAGTAATGTATGTTTCTTTTGTTTTTGTATAGTTGCAAATGAAAAAGGGGCGAGCAATTTAAGTTGAAAAAGAGAGTGTGAATGAGGAATAAAGATAAAAGGAAAATGTACTTATGAATTGTTTTGAAGTCAGTTGTAAATTTGTTGTTGTCCTTTCCTAATCAACTTTCGGCTCTTTGTGTCGGGTTAAGTCAGTGATGAAATTTACTGTCAATCTTCTGTGATCTTTGCGCCTATCTCTGACTGACTGGCGACTGACTTGAAAACTGTATTTATTGTTGACTTTTTTTTCACACTGGCTCGTTATCTTTTTTTGGTTTAGCAAATCACCTCCTTTCATTGGTCAGAAAATTAATTTCACACCTTATTGCGAAATCTGTTTTTAATCGTTTTGATCCGATTTTGCGGGTGTGCAAATCTACTTTATGTTTTTTAGTCACTTGTTGGAATGATATAGGATTTGTATCCGATAAATGTGGATTTGTTTTAGTGTATATATTATATTTTATTCTTCATATATTTGCTACACGTGTTTTCGGTCTTGTGATCTTCTTCAGGCAAATTAAAGAAATCAGTTTTTAAAGACCGGAAACTCGTGTAGCAAAAATATGAAGAATAAAACATAATATATACACTAAAATAAATCCACATTATAACCAAAAACATTTGGGGTTTCTCTCTTTTTTTTATATATATATATATATATATATATATATATATAATATTATCTATATAATATAATATAGGAAAACAATATATAATTTTTTTATATATCAAGGACAATTTTAGGGGTGTAGTAGAATTTTGAGGGGATAAAATTCAATCCAGCAGCTGCGCATCTTAAAAAATCCTGCTTCACACCATGTGGCACCTGTTTATATCCAAGCCGAGTAGTCAGTGATTGGTTGAAGTATGACCAAAAATTTGCATAACATTCTCATATATAAACAAGAGTCATATGTGCTCTTTCTTACTTTTTTTTGACGTAAGATACATGATCCTACCCACTTATTTGTCAACATGTAACCTCTCACAGTCACAGCATTCTCTTTGGGAAATGCATGAGCAATACAATACACACATGTACATATGTACACATGCACATTCACTCACTCTACATACTTTGGACCAAAAAATTTTCACATTCATTTGTTACACACATCATTGTCTTTGCCGCTTTTATACCTTTGTTGTTAAAATATTATTTGTCTGTATGTATATATTTGTTCTTGACATTTCTTTATGTGGACTCACATCCAAAGTCTGCCATGTTTGTTGTGGGTATTTCAGGAGACAGCATGTCATTCCCAATTTCAAACACTGATATTACTAATGCCCGCAACAGTTTAGGAAGCGTTATACTGACCTACAACAAGTTGTGAGCATTTTAAATTTCGAAAGTTTTTTTAATTAATATGTTTTGGATATATAACCTAGCTGATTTTATTTATGTTCTTTTTGTTTTTGTTTATGTTTCCCCAACTTTTGTTATCAAATATCACACATTGTGATAATAGAATATGTACCAAGAAAGATGAAACATTTTAAGAATCATACAGAAATTTTACCATGGATGATCCAATGATTAAAGTGCTTTGCAAATATTTTTCTTTCAGTATACTGTTTTCTCTTTTAATGGGGGTAGCATTTTTTTAATCAAATTTGTGGTCAGCCTCATTATGCTGAGCAACTAATGCATTTAATGTGTTATTTTGTAAAAGATCCCTTTTGTGTTCATATAATCTTTTATCTGGAAGCATACCCATTCAATACAAACTTCATTACATGATTTGGTAGAAATGATTGGATTAAGCTAAATATTCATCCTGTGACACCATAGCCCTTGAGGGTACAGAGAAGGCTAGCATACCAAATACTGATATATCTACAGCCACAGTCTGAGCTTTGCCATTCTTAACAAACGCTTGAT